CATTTTCAAAGAACAAGCTGTATGTAATGTCTTGGGTTAATTTCACCAGAAGTATCACACAAAAGTCAATTCAGTTATTAAATTATAATAATTATCAATAATATTTAATAAATCAAGTTAAAACTAATCTTGTAAAATTTTACAGCAAAGGGAAAATAATTATATCATCCATTGATACAAAGAACAAAATGCCTATATATTTGCTACATAAGTTCACTTCAATCCAACAACATGTAGTACATTGCTACTATGTATCATATGTCACACTATACTGGATGCTATGAGGGGCAGAGATATAAAGCCCTCTACCTTCAGGGGCTTAACATATAGCCAACAATTTGAAAGTAAAATTTTATTCCTACTGCCCTTAAAAAATAACTATGTCTATTTTAGGAAAAATAAATTTTAGATTATTGGCCCTCTAGATAATCTACATTTTATACCTTCATTAATATGATTGACTACTTCACCAAAAGCTTTGTGAAAGCAATAACTATGTCTTACTGTTTCTTACATCCCATGCCTTGCACATATCACATGCTTAACAAAAGTGTTCAATTGATATTACTTTTTAAAAAGAGTTAACATTAAATCACTTTACTCTCCTGAATAAGGAAACATAATTCCATGCTTAAATATGATTAAAAAACAAATTTAATAACCATGAAGATGGGAAGATGCCACTAATTTTGGGAGCTTCTATCTTGAGAAATTTTCAAATTGAGCATACAAATATTCAATGCAACCTGAATGTCAAATACATAAATAAATCTTGTTGTAGTGTTTTAAATACCCTGAAACATGCACTTTCATATTTCAATTGATCAATGATCTTTTAATTATGGAGGCTTCCTTTACCTCCACTTCATGCCATATCTTTTCATAAATCCTCTGATGGAGAATCTATTCAATGAACCAGACATTGTTCTGTTCTTTTAATATTTTGTGGATAGCAGTGTAGCACTCAGACTGTCCCCTTGTTAGATCTCACTCTTGTTTGTTGCATGCTCACCAAGAGGCTTATTTACTAATATTAAAGCATACACTACTTAGGAAATTTCTGAATACTATACTTCTTCAAAAGAAGAATAATGTGTGATATCTTGGAATGAGAGGAAGTTCAGCATAATGGATAGAGAGCTGGCTGAATGCCAGAAGATGTGGATTTAAGTTCTGATTCTGACATATACTGACTCTGGGACTCTGGACAAATCACTTAACCATTCAATGCATTGAACTCTCAAGCTCTTAAGTTGTAGAAAAGGTGCCAACCTATACTGGTGGAGAGAATTTCCTATGAAAGCACAGATCCAGTCCCTGTATCTATCTGGGGCCACCACCAAAACATTTGTGCAATCTGGAGTGCTTTTTTCCCCCTTAGTGATGGGATGAAAGCTGAGGTCAATTTCAACAAGATAGAAATCACCAAATTCTGTGTTTCAGCCAAAGCTGTTAAATATGGCTGTATGGAAAAGGGCTTAAAGTCACACAAAGTATTAGAATGTTCAGTGTGAAACAAATAATCAAATCCACCAACGTACAAAGTAGCAAAGACAAGGAAATTTTTATTTTGTTTTTACATGTAGCCAGTGTAGACAGTCAAACTAGTGACAGCAGTAGTCAAAGATTCTTTTTTGTTTTACTTTTCTAAAGTAGAAATGCTCTAAATTATATACACTGTATTGAAAATTGGCATAACTGTCCTAATATAGGATAACATTATTATCTATTCACATTAGTTGATTTAATTACCCCAACACTAGAATTTTCAACCAATGTACTTTCTAGCATAGTCTGGATACAAAAGAGTGAATAAATGCTCGCTGATTGGTTATTCAAAACCAGTAACTGCCATCATCATTGACAGCTGTTACTATAACAAACAGATTTTTTTTAAATTTGGCAAAGTGATTGACTATTTACTCTTTTATTTATAAGACTATTAATTTTTTTATATTTTCAGTTACTGTATAAATACACCATTGGGCTGAGAACAGACATGTCAGCAATTAAAAATTCTTCACTATAACATACCCAAATTTGGCCAATGAATACATTTTCCTATCATTGGAAGAATGTGGGAGAGCAAAGTCTTTCGTCTTCTTCAGGGTAACAAATGATGCTGCTTCAAATGGTACTTTGCATTTCTGTTTGGCTTGACAGAACATGCATGATATATACATATACAAAATGCATACATATATATATAATATACACATGTACATATATATGCATAAATATACAGTTATAATAGCAATATTATAATGTGATTATGAACATATTCCATTTTGTGTGGAAGTAAAATATTTCAGAATTTTTAGATGTTCCAATCTTTCATAGTCTGCCTTACTTTTCTTTATAGCTATAACATTTATACAACATATAGCCAGTGGTGTTTTAAGTAGAAATCACTGCAAATTTGATGTTCTCTCTCTGTGCTAGAGCTAAGCATTACCTCTAGAATGTGCTTGGGACAACAATGTAGGAATTTGTATTTAGCTGGGAGACTGTTACACTTCCACATTTTATGAGTATATGTGTGTGTGTGTGGCCAATGCTTGTTTCTTTTATTTATAGAACTGTAATTACTACAGCCTATTTGCCTAAAATTAACTAAGTGGTTGACAGAATTTGGTGATATAATTTCAGAGCCAGTAAATATTCAAAAAAATTTAGCTAAGACAATTTTTAAATTGAAAAGATAATTAAGGAAAGTTGTGTCTTCTACTTAAATATCTAGACTCTTATATGTAGTAAATTGTCACCTAAAATCTTTGATTCTAAAATTTTATACTTAACCTTTAAAAAATATGTCTTAAATAATATTCTCATGGTCTTATCTAGAAGGCAGTATACAATGTTGTGGGTATGAGTAGGAGGAGGTTGAATGGATTTCCTGTCTATATACACTAATATATAGCATATACCAGAATAGGAGAACTGATGTAGTGATAGGCCTATAACTGAAGACACAACAGACCTAAGTTGTTCTCCCTTTTGAAGCTTTTTGACTTAGGTGATACACAAAGATAGCTTCAACATAGACCAAAATTAGATTCCTGCAGCAAGCTCTTACCCTTCAAAGTATCATTATGACTCATCAAGAATATTCATTCTCATGCAAATCAAAACGAGGTTTTACATTACATCCATAAAAATGGCAAAGATGGCAAAAATAGGAATAGGCAATATTAAAGAGACTGAAGAAAGCTGGCAAAAAAGTAAACTGTGAATTTTGAATTGGTTCAAATATCCATACCCTTTGACCCATAATCTTTGCTAGGTTTAGACCCCAAAGGAAGTAACAGACAGAAAGAACAGTCCCACATACACAAAATATTTATGGCAGTTCTTTATTTGTAGTATTATAGAACAGAAAGAAAGTCGATGTTTATCAGCTGGGGAATGCCTAAACAGAGAATACATGAACATAATAGAATATTGCTATGTCATAAGAAAGGAATATGAAAAAATAAGAAACATAGGAAACCTTATATGAACTGCACCAAAGGGAAATAATCAGAGCCAGGAAGGGAGTATACTTAGAACAACAATGTCGACACAAAGAATAACATCTGTGAACTGATCCAACGATTGTGGAGAGCAATTTGGAACTATTCCCAAAGGGCTATAAAACTGTGCATACCCTTTGACCCAGTAAAGAACCTTCTAGGTCTGTATCTCAAAGAGATTATAAAAATGGGAAAAGGACCCACATGTACAAAAATGTTGATCGCAGTTCTTTTTGTGGTAGCCAAAAACTGGAAATTAAGGGGATGCTTATCAATTGTGAAATGGCTGAACAAGTTGTGGTGTATGAATGTGAAGGAATATTATTGTGCTATAAGAAATGATGAGCAGGTGGATTTCAGAAAAACCTGGAAAGACTTATATGAACTGATGCTGAGTGAAGTTAGCAGAACCAGGAGAATGTTGTACACAGTAACAGCAACATCATGCGATGACTAACTTAGATAGACTTAGCTCTTCTCAGTAATGCAGGGATCTAAGATAACTCCAAAAGATTCATGATGGAAAATGCTATCCACATTCAGAGAAAAAACTATGGCATCTGAATGCAGATGGAACCATACTATATGCTCTCTTTCTCTTTTTTTTTTGTTTCTTCTTTCTCATGGTTCTTCCCATTGGTTCTAATTCTTCTTTACAACATGATTGATATGAAAATAGGTTTAATATGAATATATATGTAAAGCCTATATCAGATTTTATGCCGTCTTGGGGAAGACGGAGGGGAAGGAGGGGGAGAAAATTTAAAACTCAAAATCTTATGGAAGTGAATATTTAAAACTAAAAAGAAACTAATTTTTAAAAAAAGAATGTAATGTTCATTACAGGTTTTCCTTCTCCTCCAAAAAATAAAGAAAGAATAACATCCAAAATAAGAAATTAAAGCAGCCTAATTATAATAACTAAGCTGTTACCCAAAGAGATGAGAAAATGTACAACCTCTCTTTGCAAAAATGGGGAACTATGAGTACAAAATATTGCAGTCCTTCAATTCTCGTCTGGTGTGTTAAGTCCTGCTAAACTTTTCCCCCAATTCCTCTTAATCTTTTATACAAGGGATGACTCACTGGTCAAAGGAATGGAGAGGGATACATTTGGAAATGAAAGTATCAATAAGAACAATGAAAAATTAAAGTGTAAAAAGAATATCCATTCTCCCTTCAAGATGGAGAAAGACTGATTCTTATATATATAATATATAACATCTACTGTATTGTGGCTTTGCACTAGGATTCTATGAGGGTCTTTTCATTTGTATGAAACAGGGTATTTGATACCCTACATGTTGCATGATACACTGCATGTAAAGAGAATTAAAATTGCATAAGATGAACATTAATATGTTTTTTGTCTTTGAAACATTAACATTTTGCTTCCTTCAAAAAAGGCAAATACCTAAGATGCTATATTCAAAGTAAGACAACTTAATATAAGAACAAATATTCTCAGCTCTATAGAAAATCAGCATATTAATTAAATATTAAAGTTTTAATCATCTCTGAATTTTAAAATTGAAGGCAGATTTCCAAATAGTTTGGAAAACCACCCAAAAGCTATTAACAAGCAACAAATAGGCAACAAAATGGCAGCTTATTAAAAATTTGTTAAGAAGGACCTATGTTCTAACCATACATACAACAAAACAAGTTGTAGACTACTGTATACATTTATGAGATTTTAATTAGTCACTTGCCTGTCATAAATAGTAATTCGACAAATTATAAAAGTATAAAATGCAAAAAGTAATTGTTAAAGGAGGCCAGAAAAACACTACATTATTTTAACTCATTAACATTTCTGCTACCTTTGTTATAAACAAATTGCTGCAATATAAAGAAAATATTATCTAAAGTGTATTTCTCTATAAAGGGTACAAATGAAAATACATAAAACCTTGATTAAAAATTTTTTGAAAAACATTTCTGGACCATAAAAGAACTCCAAGTCTTGGTCATTTACCTGAATAACATAAGTATTTGCATTTTTTTCTTTTAAATTTATGCACATGGCCTCTTTAAAAATTATTTTAATTCTCTGTATTTTGCAATTGTATTTTCTCTGATGTAAGTTCCCTATAGTAAGCACATATAACAACCATTAATACAGACTAAAAAAATCAAGATAAAAATATTTCCTGTAAGAAAGCATACATATATATTCCAATTTTGCATTTAACATGTATTTAAACCTCCACAGAAACACTAAACTTTAAGGAATTAACATAATAAAGGTTGGTTATGTAATTCAAGCTGTCAGTAACAATTTATTAAGCATTTACTATGTGCCAGACACTGTGCTAAGTGCTGGTGATACAAAGAAAGGCAAAAAGAGTTCCTGCCCTCAAGGAGCATACATTCTAAAGGAAAAGATAACATATAAATAACTAAGTACATAAAAAATACAGATAGTCAGTGGAAGGTAATCTCAAAGGCTCTAGCAGCTGGTGGGGATGGAGGAGGAGGAGATCTGAATCCCAACCAAGGTGGGGTTTGAATGTAGTCTTGAAGGAGCCAGGGAAACAAAGAAATGGGAAGTGAGGAGGAGGAGGAGCAATCCAAGCATGAGGTTTACCCAGTGCAAAGATACAAAGATGACAGGTGGAGTGTCTTGTGCAAAGAACAGCAAATGGATAATGTAGGTAGATTATGGAGTCCATGGAGGGCAGCAAAGTGCAAGTCTGGAAATGTAGGAAGGGGCCAAGTTTTGAAAAGCATTAAATGCCAAACAAAGGACTACAGGGAGATCCCAGAGACTATAAGGAACCACTGGAGTTTATTGGGCGGGAAGGTAGGTAGTATTTTAGAAAAATCATTCTGGTATCATGGATTGGAATAGGAAGAGAGTTGAGGCAGGAGAACAATTAGGAAGCTATTGGGGTGGTCCACTTGAGCAGGGATGAGAAACCAAGGTGATAGCTGTGCGAGCAGAGAAAAGGAAACGTATAGAACGTATTGGGAAAGTAGAAACAAAATCTGACAACGTACTCCACATGTGGAGTAAATGGGAGCGAAGAGTCAAGGATTACACTGAGGTTTTAAAACTGGATGACTGCGAAAGGTGATACCCTCTACAGTAATAGGGACGTTCAGAAGAGAGAAGGGTCTGGGAGGAAAGATAATGACTCCTCTCTCAGAAGTATAAATGCCTAGCAGAGTACAGTTTGACATGATCAAAAGGAAGGTGAAGGATAAGTCAGAGGACAGAAGGTTGAGGAGAGAATTTGAGGAAAGGAAATGGAGCCACCTATTATAAATGGCTTTCTCAAGGATTTCGGTCAAAAAGGAAAGAAGATGGTAGAGGAATGTGATCAAGATTGCCTGAAGAGGACAGTTGTCTAGAAGAGGGGCCACCACCTTCATCTGAGACCAGAATAAAAGAGGAATTAGTGAGGGGAAATGTATGCTTGATATGAGGTGAAGAGGAGGGAGGGAGACAATTCTTGGTGAATGGCTTCGGTTTTTTCCAGTGAAAAAAGAGTCAACATCCTCAGCTTAGAAGGAAGCTGGATTAGAGAGAAGGTTTGGAAGAGCTGTTAGGAAGAGTAGGATAGCGAATCAATTTCAGAGTAGTAGAGGGACTGCCTTACTACAGTGAGGTCATAAATGAGATTTTATAATATAAATTTTTAGTAGATATAATCAACAAGGTTCCGTGATTTTCTCCAGTTCTGTTCAGCACCATGTGAATAGGCCAAAGAAGGCAAATAGTAGAAGTATTCCAGGGTCAGGGTTTGACAAGGCAAAATCATCAGTGGAACAAAGGAGCGAGGGATTTGGATAGTGCAGAGATGAAATGGTTCACCAAAGAGCTGACATAGGGAAGGAAGAATGGCACAGCCAGGGCAGGGAAAATGACCTAGTAAAGAACTAAAGGGTAGAAAGCATGGAAGTCATGGTGAGGATGAAGAATGGAGTTACTGGCCATGAGAAATAATGGAAAAAGATGAAGCAATTTTAGAATTCATGAAAATGGAAAAAAATTGTTGATGATGGCAAGATCAAAGGCATGACCCTCTATGGGTAATTGAGTAGGAGTACGTCATAGGAAATAAGTAGCCTCTTTAGGAAATGAAGGTATTTAGGGATCACATATATATATACACACACACACACACACACACACACACACACACACACACTACTGAAGTCCTCTTGTATGCATGAAAATGGTTATAAATAACATGCATCATAAATTTTTTTTCCAACAATGACCTACAAGAAAACTATACTTAAACTGGAAGTAGAAAAATAATTCTTCAGTTGTATTGCCTAAATCTAAAATCTGAATGTTTAGGTTACTGTGACCACCCACAATAATGAAGCTATTACAACCGCACTTGCTGAAATGTAGTCACTTTAAGCAGAGTAAAATATAGCATACTCTTCCTCTATTCTATTATCATTGGCAATCAAAAGTATTTATTTATTTTTAATATTCAGTAAAAATTATTCTTCAATGACACCTGGAAATGTTCTAAGAATTCATAATTGTTTTTCTCACCACATTTTCACTTACTATTATTACTGACAACTGAAAAGTATATATCACTTAATATGTTCCTATAAGCCACTATCATCCTATACAATTATATTATTTATGTAACTAGTAAGGTGAGCAAGAAATGTTGTGGAGCTCAAGTCATAATTAAAGCATCTGGGATACAATAAAATGATGGCTTATTGTTCTATATAAAACAGTTCAGAATAATACTTATCTTAAGGTAGGATGTTAGCAGCAGATACCTAATGCAAAAGAGTAAAACCATTTTGATTTTCCACCAAGAAAAAGCAGAATTTAAATGAGAAAAAGAGAAAGGCAAAAGGCACGCTAAACTAAAAAAAAAGATTTTGGAGATCCATCAACAAATAAGTGGAAAAAAATCAAAACACCACCATTAAATACTTCTAAAACAGCAATTCAGTTAGTATTTATTATTTTGAGTGTCTCTGGAATGTGAAGTATTGCATACCAAATTGTTTAATTATGACCAAGTTTAAAATGCTTTCCACCTTTCGTCAAAAGATCTTAAAATTCATTATGTAACTGAAAAAGATTGTGATTTGCCCAGACCTTCACTGATACAAAATGTAGACTGTATGACATTACACCAATTTTCTACCCTACTTCTTTTGCTCTGTGGAAAGTAGCTAATATATCGTATTATGAGTTAATAACAATAATATGACCTACAAAATTCTGTTTTTCCCTTTTCATAATCTGTATGTAAAAATCAACTTGTCTATAACTTACATATTTTTTCATTTTTTTAAATGAGGCTTGATCTTTCATAGTCACAAACATTACTTTTACAATGCTTTTAAAATTGATTAAATGACCTTTACATGCTTAGTTGAAAAGCTACTTTTCTTTTTAATCTGAGAATAAATGTATCCAAATAAAGTAGTAAAAATCTCTGAGAAAGTTTAACCAAATTATAAGCAAAATACCTGTAGAAGGCATTTTCACATTCTGTGACCTTAATGTTTATGTTTAATCCTCCCTAAGTTTATTGTTAATAATCTTCTAAAATATAAGCAATACACATTAAGATATGTCCTAAAAAGAAAAGCCCAAATCTCTTCAAAATTATGAAAAAAGTGTGGAAGTAGATTACATACTGAAATAAGATATTATCTTGCTATGTCTTTATGGAGGAACCCGGTATGTTTGTTGTCTGCCTCCCTTCTGCAGATTCAGTATATGATCATGATGAAAGGAGGAACGGACTGTTCGATTCATCAGTGGCTGAAGTGGACGAAAGTTGTCAACCATCCTCTTTTCTTTCTCCCCAGCTGAAGTAAAAAGCAGCATCCGAAATGCCTCAAGCTGAGAATGAGAAACAGTCAATGTAAACATTTTCAGAAGAAAAAAAGTTATTGGTTAAAAAATATGACTGTTCATATTTTGCAGCTCAGAAATTACATACATAGCAAAACCCAAATCTAGCAGTAATTAAACATGTTTTAGCCAGCTGATACAGGGTACACAGAAAGATTATTATTAATGTTAATAATTAATGGCTCATAGTAACCTGTCCTCATTACCAGATAAACTCATATAGTTATACTCATTTAATTTCTTTTTTTGTGTAGCTATACATCTTGCAATAAAATAATACCATGCAAAAAATTCACATGCAAGCAGGCAGCCCAGTAGATTGGTTGCTTGCACTCTGAAAAGACATGCGCTGTTTTTGAGCAATCCTACATAAGAATACATGGCTTCAATGGCACCAGAAAGAAAACAATGCTTTTGAAAGATTGCATACTTCAACCAAAACAGGCTCATCCCAGTTGCTAGTAGAAGTTTGATATAAAGCAATTAAGAATAAGTATCTTTGCTGAAAGCCTTAGTTCAAATCAACCACTTGTGTTAAGGGGCATAACCACAAACAGACAAGCTCTGAAACTGGTAACTTTATATAAAAAGCAAAACAATCCTCATATAATTTTAAGTTACCGATCTCTTCAGAAAGGGAATTTGCAATTACCATCTGTAGTAAAGCCTTCAAACATGAAGCCTAAAAAATGTGAGATCACATTTATGGTCCATCTATCTCAGGATTTTCTCTGCAAAAGATACACTGAAATGTTTTGTGGGACAGCATCACAGATAGCAGTCTCATCAGCTGAGAAATTCCTACCTCTTCTTTTTTTCCCACGTAAAAACATATTTCCATATTAACCATATCAAAAAATAAATAAAGCAAGAAAATAACACTTCAGTTTGCACTCAGAGTTTATCAGTTCTCTCTCTAGAGATAGATGGTATATTTTTCCATCATGTGTCCTTTAAAATTGTCTTGGATCACTATTGAACAGAAAGCCAAGTCTTTCACAGTTGAGTATCATTAAAACATTGCTGTTACACCCATGTTACAGACCTCTCCTTTGGACCTTCTAAGTTGTCTTAGGCTGGATAAATGTCTTCCTCTGACTCCAAAATTTGATTAGAAGCATTATTTTAAAGAAGTTCAGAGGGGAACATTGGGAGAGTTCAGATGGGTCCCATGTTGTATTCCATCTTGGCTGTGTCCCCCCATATCTCTTCTTACTAACACAATATAGATCTATTACCCATTCATTTATCTTAACTTTTTATGTCCCTATTTATATTTTCAGTCTACACTGCCTCATGATAGTAATGAGTCTCAGCTTTTATTATATGCTTGCTATCTAACATGTCTTCTTAGAAATCTGACCACTGTATCATTACAAGTTCTGGCTCCATGCCAAATTACCATGGGCACCAAGGAGCACCCCATATCCTGTCTCTCCAACCCCCATTTCAAAGGAGTTCCCACCTCTGCATCATACATCTTCTTTTCTATTACACCCTACAAAGCCCCAGTATTGAAGATCTCCCCCAAAGAGCTACCCCTTGCAGAGTCTTTGTCCCTAAGATACAGACTTTCTCTATTCTTCAGCCAGCTAGATGGCCCACTGGATTAGAGCTCTGGTACCAGAGTCAGGTAAACATGAGCTCATATTCTTAGACACATACTGTGTGACCCTGAGCAAGTCACTTACTTATGCCTATATCAGTTTCCTCAACTGTAAAATGGGGATAACAGCACTTACCTTACATAGTTGTAAGAATCAAATGCTTAGGACAATGCCTGGCACACAATAGGCACTACATAGAAGCTTATTCCCTTCCTTTTCCCCCTAGTAAATGTTCACATTTTCACCTCTCCTCAAATTAAAAAATATATTAGAAGTCTCACATGATTGCTTGCTATACTACATTCATCTGTGTGATATTAGTCTAAAGTGTCTAGCTTCTTTCTAAAATGAAAGTGAACAATACTTAGAACACATGAGTACATTTTAAACAACATTCCTAAAGAATAACTAGCAATGTTAAAATGAAGCTGTATTTCCTCTCTTTAAGGTGACTGGTGACTCTGAATTTTCTTTTAAAAATAAAATGTGAAAACACTTACTTGATTATGATCAACCTCAATTGGCTGTTTCTTAATGATCCAGGTGACAGATTCTGAAAGTGGTGGAGTGGTCAAAGATCCTGAATAGGTCCAAAAATCTGGGCAGGTTGGCATAAGACAGGCAGGATCAAATGTTCCAAATTCAACAAGTGAATCCTGAACGAAACAATTGTACACCGCATCAACATTTTAGTACTAAAAAATTTAGGAAAATTCATTTCTCAACTTCACAGTCTGGAAACCACTTGTAAGTACTCCTTGAATATTCTGTCTGATCTCTGAGTTGATTTCATAGAGAGTATTTCTAGAATAGGTTTCAACTTTTCAGTGAATACAGCAAAAGTATAAATTATCAATTAGATGATCTTGACTTTTTAAAGTGTTAAGGATAGGGGCAGCTAGGTGGTGCAGTGAATAGTGCACCGGCCCTGAATTCAGGAGTACCTGAGTTCAAATCCAGCCTCAGACACATAACACTTACTAGCTGTGTGATCTTGGGCAAGTCACTTAAACCCATTGCCTGGCCAAAAAAAAAGTATTAAGGATGCTTTTTGTTGTTTAAACTATAAAAAACTTCTCAATAGATCCCTGCCCCTACAGTTGGTATTATTCTGTTGTTTCAATCATATCTGACCTTTCATGACTCAATTTGGAGTATTCTTGGCAAAGCTACTAGAGTGGTTTGCTTTTTTCTTCTCCAGCTCATTTTAACAGATGAGGAAACTGAGGCAAACAGGGTTAAGTGACTTGCCCAGGGTCATACTGCTAGTAAGTATCTGAGGCCAGATATGAACTCAGATCTTCCTGACTCTAGGCCCCATGCTCTATGCACTGTGCCACCTAGCTGCTCTTTCCCTACAGAATCAAGTCCCAATTTCTCCTCTGAAATCTAGTTCCACATTACTACCCATTGCTGGACATCACCACCTGGGTGTCCTGGTAGGTATTTCAAATTCAACATGTCTAAAACTAGGCATTCCAACTTTCAAACTTCCAAACTCCCTCCAACTTTCCCCATTTTTGTCAAGGGCATTAATATTCCCAATTTGCAATGATGAATAGGATGGGTTCAGAAATACCTGGAAGGACTTATATGAATTCATGCAAAGCAAAATGAGCTGAACCAGGAGAACCTTTTTAGCAGTAACAGCAATATTATATGACAATCAACTGTGAATGATTTTACTATTCTGATCAATACAATGATCCAAGACAATTCTGAAGGACTTATAATGAAAAAATTTTATCCTTCTCCAGAGAAAGAACGGATGGAGTCTGAATGAAGATCATTGCATACTTTTTTTTTACTTTATTTTTCGTGATTTTTTTTTGGTCTGTGTTTTCTTTTGCAGCATGGCTAACATGGAAAAATATATATGTAAATATATTCAGTAAGCACTACTGTATTCAGAGGAGTCATGCTATGTATGCACTGAAGAAGCTATAAAATTTGGATAAAATATGGTTCCCACCTTCATGGAGTTTATGGTCTGGAAGAGGGATAATATACAAAGATAAGTATAACATAATATTAAATTATAAGAGCATTAGACAAAATGCTGTGCTATAATATGATACACAGTGTCCCAAAAATCTTAGTGCATTTTAAGCCTTAATAATGTAAGAGATATATTTTCAGAACATAACTAATGCAGAAATATGTTTTGCCTGACTTCAAATGTATTATATTTCTTGCCTTCTCAGTTGGTGGGGAGGGGTGGAAGGAAGGGGAAGAACTTGGAAATGAAAATCAAAATAAAATTGAATTTTAAAAAGCAGAAATACAAAAAAACCTGAAAGGTTAATTATTTAACATTTTAATATATTGATATGTTTCTAATTAAAATCAATATGATGACCAACTCACGTGCATATATTACCCTTCTTGATTTTCAAACTTTGTAAAAACTTTCATTGGGTTCTGCTCAGGGACTGAAAGGATTGCACTTGTAATCTTAGTTTTAAGATCATCCAAAAGGTTTGGATGCATACATGACAGTTTTGACACAGCAATGCAAGAAAAAGTAAAGGGGATAAATAAGAGGACCTCCTCCAGCAATCTATCAGTCTAAAAAAGTGTCTTCCAGAAACTGTTACACATGTAATGAATGAGAATATTCAAAATTCACGAAATAACTACAAAGAAATTTAAATGATTAAACTTGCAAATGCTGTTTCTGTAAGTTTGTATAATTTATACTTGTAAAGTTATTAAAACTTAAAACTGCACTAAGACTTTTGGGTCACCCTGTATTAAAGAACTGTGATTATATGTTATTTAATAATATTAATAGCTAACATTTATATAGTAACTACTTTGTGTCAGGTACTTGTAATTATTATTTAATTTGATCCTCACAACAACCCTGAGATATAGGAGTTATTTACCCTTATTTTACAGATGAGGAAAGTGAAGCAAAACAGGGTTAAGTGACTTGCCCAAAGACACATACCTAGTTTGTGTCTGAAGCCAGACTTAAACTCCAATCCAGTACTTAAAAGTTAAAAAGAATCAAAAGTTAAAAAGTGCTTTATTATTACATCTATTCTTATCAGTTTAATATTAATTATATAGGAATTTCTAGAAGGGGATGTGTGCTATTTTAAAGAGATATAAAGACATAGGACCTGTTTTGAATTTCAGTTCTGCTATTTACCTTCCTATGGGATTGGACAAGTCACTTAACCTTAGGGTCTGTTTTTTTCATCTGTGAAATGAGAGAGTTGGACTAAATGATCTCCAAAGTCCCTTCTAGTTTGTAATTTATGACCTTACTTTTTTTCTAGCATGAATTATTTATTTTTATATTCATCATTAGGATTTCATAAAAACACTGCCATTTTCTTTATTCATTTGGCTATTTTTAAAAAAAATTTCTTCAGGCAAATGGTAAAGGGACAAATAGTCCAAAAAGGCACTTTGTCCGAACCATGGTTTCCAGGAACCATGCAAAAAGCCTGGAGAAAGCAAAATGTGATTTCAGCTGTACCTCAAAGTGACAAGCAACAAATATCCTTATTTATATTTTCTTTTAACCTAAGGTAACAAAAATACTGTTTTAAGAACAACTTTGAATGAACATGTCATTTTGACTATTATAAATACCCAAATTAACTACAAAGGGCACATGAAGGAAGACACTATCTGCATCCAGAAAAAGAAATGATAAACAGAAGTATATATAGAATAATTTTACATATACATACATATTTGTGTCCAATGGTAGCCATGGTATGGGGAGGTTAAAAACCCAGAAAATTTTTAGCAAGGATATTTACATAATTTCCAAAATGTATTAAAATACTATAATCCTGATGACAGTTGTGGTGAGCCTTTATGTTCCATCTGCTCAATCTTTATAGCATCAGGAATGGATGTGTTTAAGCACTTTCCTTTGAGCTACTCAAAATAAAGTATTAACAAAGTGTTATCAGGGTATGATATTGAATGTTGACAAGCTTTCAGCCTACAGTCTAGGCAACTCCAATCCACAACAGGCAGGATTTAGAGATAAAAGGAAAGGCTACCAGCAAAAGAGAAGTTCAGAGGAAAGGAAGCAAAGGAAAAAGGGGTTCACCCGGAAGAGAAAAAAAAAGTCAAGTCAACAACTATTAAGTGACTGTGCTCTCAAGGAACTCACAGTCTGATGGATGATACAACATGCAAACAGCTATGTACAAAAAGACACAGGCAGAGTAGACTGGAGATAGTCTCAGAGGGAAGGTACTAAGATAGAAGACTGAGAAAGGCTTCTTTGTGGAACTTTAGCAGGGGCCTGAAGGAAGCCAGGGAAGACAGGCAGTGGAAATGAAGAAAGAGAGAGCTCCCAGGCATGGGGGAACAGCCAGTGATAATGCCTGGAGTTGGAAGACTGTTTTGTTCCAGGAACAGCAAAGAAGCCAATAAGGGTGGATTACAAAGTAGATGGACAAGAGTAAAATGTAAGGAGACTGGAAAGGCAGGAAAGGGCCAGGTTATGAAAGGCTTTAAAAGACAAATAAGATTTTATATTTGATCCTAGAGACAATAGAGAGCCAATAGAGGTGACTGTACAGGAGGATGGGGTGGGAAACGTGATCAGACTTAAACTTTAAGAAGATCAATTTGACAAACCGCACACTTTAAGCAGAACTGACTGGCGGCAGCTGAGGAGAGAAGTTAGCAATCAGGACCTTGGATAGGGGCCACACATTAAGTCCTCAGACAGAAACAGACTAGAAGCATCATCAAAATTTTCATTCTCTGAGGTTGGATTTTGGGGGCATAAAATCCATTTGGGGGTTTTCTCTACTTTTCTCATGTTGTTTAGAAAATGAGATTTATACACACTTTAAGGTTCCAAAGTTCCTTATATACATTATCCACCTTCTTGCAGAGGCTAGTGACTTGACTGTGGATACAGAACTAGTTCATAATTGTGGAGACAGGATTTAAACTTGGGATTTCCTGACTCCAAGTACAGTGTCCTAGCCACTCTCCTATATTGCTTCTCATGCATTGTGGTCTTAGTGCTTGGAACAGGTTTGGGCTGTCAAGTATAGACATTTTCCTAGGATTTTAGGGATGATTCTGAGTCTATAAACAGGTGCTTGGGACCCTTCCTGCCATAGGAGATAGGTAGTATAGTAGTTAGAAAATTGGTCTTGGAGTCTGGAAGGTTTGAATTCATTTCCTGCCTAGGATACTTACTAGTTATGTTTTTTATTTTTCAAGAAGGAAATAGAAACAGATGGGGTAATTGGTCCACTGGGTTCCTTTGCTATAATCCAGATTTGCAACAACCCAAAACAGAACCACCCATCTGGAGCAAGGAAATTTTAAAACTTTCCTGTTAACACATTTCTTTAACTTTATGGGGTAGGAGAATGCAAAGACCTATAAAACTTTAAAGCCAGGGAAAATATACAATTTAACCTCTTATTAACCTCTGAAAACCTATGAGATATGAAAAAATTCTTTCAATATTTGCCTTACCATAAAAAATGATTATTCACTGGATATATGATATTTGATGAGGACACACTTTTCATGTTTAATGTAAAACAAGTTTTTTCAAATATTTAAATGTCAATGTTAGCAATTTATTTATTTTATCATTCAATATTCAGTGATACTGAAGAATCCTGTCATGATTCATCACACCATAGATTAGATATCACAGTGATCAATTTATATTCCCCATCTTTCATACTTAAATGGATACTCAAGGAAAGATAGCAGATAGTTGCTTACATGCTAACAGGAGAGGTATATGTGTATACATACATACATACACACATACATATAGACATATATCTTTATATACATATTTTTTTTCTCCAAAAACATACACTAGAAGTCTTTGGGTTTAAAAAATATAATAAGAATAAAGACAATACAAATGTCTAAGCTGAAGGGAGAAAAAACGATTTTTGTTTCTCTCTGTGTGTGTGTATGTATGTATGTATACGTGCATGTACACACGTGCCTGTGTAGGTGTATGGTTTTTTTTTTAAAGAATTTAGTTTAGAAGGAAAAAAAGATCCATACACCAGGTAGCCAAGTGAGTAACCTCAACTCAGACTGAACCAGGATAAAATACAGACTTTTCAGGAAGCCAGCCAAAGTGATTCTGGATCAAAAATAAATTCTCCAATGAAGCTCACAGGAAAGAGAGATAGTAAGACTCAAATCAGAACAAAAGGTCTAAAGAGGGGCACAGCTAGACTCTGTCTGTGTATCTCTATCTGTGTATCTGTGCTTGGTTTAATTACAAGAAAATCATATTCACATTTATATTCACTCCCTCTAATGAAGTAGTTATGGTTATATTGTGAAAGATAGGCAGAAGATAGTTGCTCACGTATTAACAGGAGAGTTACATCTATCTTCCCAGACACTAAAAGTTTTTGGGTTTTAAAAATGTAATAAGCACAAAGACAAGACAACTGTCTAAGCTGGAGGGAGAAAAGATGGCAGGAAAGTATGTTACTGTCATGACTATTCACTACAAAGCTATAAAGGGAGAAAGGAGAGGGTAGTTTTCCTGAGGACAAAATTACATTAGAGAATCACCAAAATGTCATCAAGTGAGGGCAGCAGACAGGCGACTGCTGTGTTGCTATGCTTTTAAAACAACCATTTCAATATCAAAAAAGCTGAAGACAAATTATAAACCCAATGATTGGGGAAAGACTGAACAAACTGTAAATGTAATGAAATATTACTGAGCTATAAGGAATGACAAATATGAAGGATTCGGCATGAATTGATATAGAGGGAAGGAGTCAATCAAGACTTGTATATCCTATGACAGGAGCAGCTAGGTAGTGCAGCGGATAGAATGCTAGGCCTGGAGTCAAGAAGACTCATCTTCCTAAGTTCAAATCTGGCCTTAGACACTTACTAACGGTGTGGCCCTGGGCAAGTCACTCAACCTTGTTTGCCTCAGTTTCCTCATCTGGAGAAGGAAATGACAAAATACTCCAGTATCTTTGCCAAGAATATCCCAAAGAGTCGGGTATGACTGAAACAACTGAACAACAAACAACAACATCTCATGACAAAAACTAATGAGAACATTTCTTTCCCTCAAGGAATATGACCATACAATACTCCGGTAGGCACTTTTGTTTGACTTTTTCTATGGAAACCTACCCTTATGTGTCCTGGAGAAGGAAATGGCAAATCATTCCAGTATCTTTGCCAAGAAAACCCCATGGACAAGTCCACAGGGTCACGAATAGTCAGACACGACTGAACAACTGAATGACAACAACAACAACAGCAAGTGTAAGTAAGTTGTTGGGGAGTGACTCATGTCCAAATGCATCAAGAAAAATGTTACACACAGAACTCTTACACATAGAAAAGACCTACTAAAGCAAAGGTTTTGCTGCTTCCCTAAGCATTATGAAATTATATTTTGGCTTTCTAAGGCAATCTTAGTTAGAGAACTCGAAAATATTTCATTTTTTAAAATAAAAACTGCTTTGCTCTAACTGCACATTGTGACCAACACAAAAACACTTAATATTTAGTAGCCTTAAAATTTTAAATATTACCTTATGTTTGATTGCTGGCAAAGCATCCACTAATTTCTGTAGTTCTTTATGCTGCACACCAAGCTAAAGAATGACAAATTAAAAAAATAAAAACTATGGCAAAAAATAAACTCTCTCTTAAACAACAATTTTGAAAAATAAAGAATTATATTCAATAGTTGAACAAGTAATTTCAGATGAGTAAGACTTTACCTTCAAAAATACTCCTATCACAGCCAATCCATTTTCCTCCATTGCAGCATCTTCAAAACTTTTATATTTGACTGCATTCCAGTGTACTAAATGTAACTGAAATACCATTGAAGAAGATTTTAGCACATGTAAACTGGGTGAAAATAAGCCAGGGAAATGGAATGTAACATTTTTTTTGATACCCTAACAAAAAGATTATTTAATCTTCCTAATGCACAGACCAGACAATGTCATCTCCTATTCAAAAACCTATAGTGGCTCCATGACTTCAAGGATAAAATAAAAATTACTCAGCATAGCCTTTAAAGGTATCTTTCTATTCAATCAACAAATATTGTAAGGCATTTTAAAGCAGTGCTTTCCCAAGAGACCGATATCTTACTCCAGCTTATGTATCTTCTTGGTTGCGGGAGTGACCTTGGGCACATTCACCTTCCATGGACCTCAGATTCCTCACACATAAAATGAGGAGTGTGCGGTAAATGACATGATCTCAAAGATCCTCTCCTTAGGGTTTTCATGAGACTACTGTGGCAGTATGGAAGTAGGGTATGTATGTGTGTGTGTGTTTACAGATATATACACACATATACACATACATACACATATGTATATATGTGTACATATAATATATGGACATATACATATCTCTATATAAATTTATAACAATCTACAGACATAGTTTTACATAGATATATATCTATATAAAACTGTATGTCTGCAGATTTACATATTTTTATATATAACATATATCCATATATCTGGATTTATATAGTTTTATATTATCAATATAGGACATGTATCTATATAAAAGTTACATGTACATATATGTGTATATATACATGTATAAGTACACATACACAAGCATGTGTCTATGTGCATACATACAAACGCGCATGTATGTATATGCACACATATGCGTGTATACACATGCATGCATGCATGCATGTAGTTGTGCAGCTGGTCCATTCCCCTGTCACCCTTTTCTCCAAGCTAAGAAATGGTCTGAAGTCAGTGTGGCCAGGGGAAATATACCTGACAAAGGGGCTATACCTGTCAAAGAAATAGTAACTTCTCTTTGCAGAGATCTTTACAAAGGATCTCCTGTAAATAATGAGGGCCTCCTCTATCTCTTTATTAAGCTGACCTGTATACTTGCTTCACAGATACTTCTTTAGCTTTATTTCTTTTTCAAAGGGTTATATATCCTAGAAGGCAGGAAAAGTTCAATTCTGGCACTATGTGGCATTAGGCAAGTAATTTCATGTCCAAATAAATCAATAAAATATTTAAAACTACAACCACTGCACATAGAAGAGGTCTACTATGGCTGAATCTTAGCTATTTTCTTAACATAAACATTATGAAATCATAATGGTCTTCTAAGGCAAACTTCATTAGAGAACTTGAAAACATTTAATTAAAAAAAAAGAATTGCCTAATTATAACTACAGGCAGGTAGGTAGTGAAGTGGATAAAGTGCTGGGCCTAGAATCAGGGAGAATTCCTGAATTCAAATCTGGCCTCACACACTTACTAGCTGTGTTACCCTGGGCAAGTCATTTACCCCTGTTTGCCTCAGTTTCCTCATTTGCAAAAATGAGCTGGAGAAGGAAATGGCAAACCACTCCAGTATCTTTTCCAAGAAAACCCAAATACATTCAAGAAGAGGTCGCAACAACAGCAACAAGAAATTTTTTTTTAGTTGAGATAATGTCTTTATTGAAGTTGCAGGATATAAAATAAGCCTATATAAATCATTAACAATTCCATATGTTATCAAGGGTCCAGCAGGAAGAGATAGAAATAGAAATTCCATTTAAAATAACTGCAGACAATATAAAATACTTAGCAGTCTACCTGTAGATGTAAACAGAGAAATATTAATTGATCATATGTAGACCAAGCCAATATAATAAAAATGACAATTCTACAAAAGGTATTTATTCAGTGCCATACCAAACTACCAAAAATATTTTATACAGCAGAAGCTAGGTATGCACCAACATCTCACACCATGTACGGAGATAAGTCAAAATGAGTACATGATTTAGTCATAAAGGATGATATCATAAGTAAATTAGGGGAGATGGAAAATTTTACTCATTATATGTATGTTGTTCTTGTTCAGTCCTTTCAGTCATATTGGACTCTTTGTGATCCCATTTAGGGTTTTCTTGGCAAAGATACTGGAGTGGTTTGCCATTTCCTTCTCTAGTTCATTTTTTTAAATATAAATTTATTTATTTGTAGTTTTCAACATTCATTTCCACGAGTTTTTGAGTTCTAAATTTTCAACCCGTCTCACCCTCCCCCCACCCCAAGATGGCATGCATTCTGAATATCCCTTCCCCTAGTCTGTTCTCTTTTCTTTCTCTCCCCCCTTCTCTCATCCCCTTCCCCTTCTATTTTCCTATAGGGCAGGATAGACTTCTGTACTCCATTTCCTGTATTTCTTATTTCCTGATAGCATGTGAAAATTTTTTTTTAAACATATGTTTTTAAAACTTTAGATTTCAAATTTTCTCTCTTCCTCCCTCCCCACCCACCCTCATTGAAAAGGCAAGCAACTCAATATAGGTGGTACATGTGCAGTTATGCAAAACACTTCCATAGCAGACATGTTGTGAAAAATTAACTCTATTTCCCGTAATCTTCTTCTGCCCTCTCATTTATTCTATTCTTTCTTTTGACCCTGTTCCTCCTCAGAAGTATTTACTTCTGATTACACCCTTTTCCAATCTGCCCTCCTCTCTATCATCCCCCTGCTCTCTTGTCCCCTCCTCCCCCTATTTTCTTGTAGGGTAAGACAAACTTCCATACCCAATTGAATGTGTATGTTATTCCCTCCTTAAGCCAAATCCTATGAGAATAAGATTTACTCATTCCCTCTCACCTTCCCCTGCTTCCCTTCCACTGTAAGAGACTTTTCTTTTTTTTTGTGAGATAATTTACCCCATTCTACCTCTCCCTTTCTTCTTCTCCGAGTATAATCCTCCTCATCCCTTAATTTTATTCTCCAGATATGACCCCTTAATCTTCAACTCACCCTGTGCCTCTATCTATCTATCTATCTATCTATCTATCTATCTATCTATCTACATACATAAATTTTTTTTCCTCCAACTACCCTAATACTGACAAAGTCTCATGAGTTATAAATTCATCTTTCCATGCAGGAATGTAAACAGTTCAATCTTAATAAGTCTCTTATGATTCTCTTTCCTGTTTACCTCTTCATGTTCCACTGAGTCCTGTATTTGAAGTCAAATTTTCTATTCAGCTCTGCGTCTTTTCATCAGGAATCTTGAAAGTCCTCTATTTCACTGAATGACATTTTTTCCCCTGAAGGATTATACTCAGTTTTGCTGGCTAGGTGATTCTTGGTTGTAATCCTATCTCCTTTGCCCTCGGAATATTTATTCCATGCCCTGCGGTCCTTTAATGTAGAAGCTGCTAAATCTTGTGTTATCCTGATTGTGTTTCCACCAGTACTTGAATTGTTTCCTTCTGGCAGCTTGTAATATTTTCTCCTTGACCTGGGAACTCTGGAATTTGGCTATTATATTCCTAGGAGTTTTCCTTTGGGGATCTCTTTCAGGAGGAGATCTGTGATTCTTTCCATTTCTATTTTGCCCTCTGGTTTCTAATATATCAGGGCAGTTTTCCTTGATAATTTCTTGAAAGATGATGTCTAGACTCTTTTTTTGATCATGGCTTTCAGATAGTCCAATAATTTTTAAAATTCTCTCTCCTGGACCTATTTTCCAGGTCAGTTGTTTTTCCAATGAGATATTTCACATTGTTTTCTAATTTTTCATTCTTTTGGATTTGTTTTACAGTGTCTTGATTTCTCATAAAGTCACTAGCTTCCAATTGCTCTATTCTAATTTTAAGGAAGTATTTTCTTCAGTAGTCTTTTGGACTTCCTTTTCCATTTGGCCAATTTTTGCTTTTTAGGGCATTTTCTCTCATTGGCTTTTTGGACCTCTTTTGCCATTTGGGTTAGGCTATTTTTTAAGGTGTTAATTTTCTTCAGTATTTTTTTGGGTCTCCTTTAGCAAGCTGTTGACTTGTTTTTCATGATTTTCTTGCATCACTCTCATTTCTCTTCCCAGTTTTTCCTCTGCTTCCCTTACTTGCTTCTCAAAATCCCTTTTGAGCTCTTCCAAGGCCTGGGACTGATTCATATTTTTCTTGGAGGCTTTGGATGTAGGAGCTTTGACTTTGTTGTCTTCTTCTGGTTTTATATTTTGATCATCTTTGTCACCAAAGTAAGATAATATAGTCTGACTCTTTTTGTGCTGCTTGCTCATGATCCCGCCAATTACTTGAGTGAGTATTAAACTCTTTGTTAAGGTAAAAGTCTGCTTCCAATCTAATGGGAGAATGTACTGTCCCAAGCTTCAGGGTTTGTACAGCTGTTTTCAGAGATACTTGTAACATAGGGACCTGTAAATTTTTCAGTTCTTCCAAGGTGGTATGGATAAGGGGCGAGGTGTTTACTCCTTTCCTGGCCTGTGACCACAAGTATTCCTTTCTGTCCTGTAACTGTGAGGAGAGGTTTCTCTCCACAGCCACTACAAGCTCCACCACGCCAGTGTTCCTCCTCAACCCAGCACTGCCACCCAGAACTGTGATCCAGATCCACACACGGGCAAAGCAAGAGATTCCTGCCTCAGCACTGGCAAAGAGATTCCTGCAATCCCTCTCTGATCAGCCATTGGATTCCCCTTCGGTCTGAGGGCTGGAAGCTCGGGAAGCAGCTGCCCCCCCTCACGCTCTTGGGGAACGAAGCTGAAACCCCACCTTCCTTTCTCAGCACTGACAGAAACAGACTTTTCCCATTTCTAAGTTGCCTTTGGTATTAGTGGGTTGAGGAGTCTGGAAACCTCCACAGATGCCCGCGATTCAGTCCTCTGAGGCCTGCTTCAGGTTCGCTGAGGCCTGTGCACCTACGCTGCGCTGTGCTGCACTGTGTTTCCAGCCCGGTGCGATACACCTTTCTGATCAATCATCGAGGTTGTCTCGGGCTGGAAATTTGTTTCACTCTGTCTTTTTGTGGGTTCTGCTGCTTCAGAATTTGTTTAGAGCCATTTTTTAATGAGTATTTGGAGGGGTTTGAGGGAAAGCTCAAGCAAGTCACTGCTTTCACTCCGCCATCTTGGCTCTGCCCCCAACAGCAACAAGAAATTTTAACTACAAATTGTAACCAACACCAAAACACTTAACATTTCAGTAGTCTTCAATTTTTACATTTTTAAGATTCAGGTGATTTAATACAGCCCACAAAGAAGTTAGGTCACAGCATCTCCTATTTATCAATTGATTGGCTATTTTTAACTGCTTAGAATTAAAAACATCAGAACTTTCTTGTAGTTTGTGTTCAAGTATCACAGTAATAAAGTACATACCTCAGCTGGATAACATTTACTGTCAATAGTATGTTCTGAACCCCAGTCATTTATTGCTCCCCAGTGAAAATGGAACTGCTTTAACCGATAATTATTTTCCAAAGGTCCTCCCCTAATCACTGAAATAATATATAGAAATAATTCAGAAGCTTTGTTAGTTATTCATTCAGGGAAATGCAGCTGAGATACAACATCAACATAGGTCTATTTAACTGGAAAGCCTTTAAATTCAGCAAATATTATTAAGCACCTACTCTGTGCAAGACACTATGTCCAGCTTTGGGGATTCAAAGACCAAAACAGGTTCTGTCTTCAAGAAACTTATATGGCAATTTAACATAAATATTGGGAAGTTTAATAAAGGGTAAGGAGTGAAAGAGGCAAAGAAAAGATCAAAGACCTTGAGGAATATCTTTACAGATAACTGGGGGAAGGAGGTGGTGAGAGAAGAGGAATTAAGGAAAGCTTAACAGCAGAAGTTATTAGGTACCTGAGGAAGTGAATTCCAAGGATGAGGGCCAGCTAAAGCATGGAGGAGAGAATGGAGATAGCTTATTTGATCCATCACAAGCAGATAGTCCAGTTTGCCTGGAGCTAAAGTACACGAAAAGGATTAATGTGGGATAAAGCTGGAGAGGTGAGCTGAAGCGAGATTACAGAGGGCTTTAAATACCAAGCTAAAAAGTTTTATGTTTTATTCTAGAGGAAATAGGGAACCACTGAGGACTTGAGTAGGGGAATGACAGGTTAGATCTATGCCTTAGGCAGATCATTTTTGCAACTGTGTAAAGGAAGAGGCTAGAATCAGGAAGACCAAACAGGAGGCTATTACACTAGTCCAGACAAGAAGTGGTAAGTAACTAAACTCAGAAGGTGTCTGGCAATGGTGAGATGGTAGTAATGGAATCAGCATGACTCGGCAACTGATCAGATATGGAAGTGGGGGAGAGGAGACAGTTTGAGATGACTGAAGTTATAAACCTGGATGCCTGGAAGGATGGTGGCATGCTGAAAGATGGAGAAGTTTGCAAAAGGGGCAGATTTGAGAGGATGAGCTTGGTTTGGGGTATGCCAAGTTTCAGGCCATCCAGGTAGAAATACACAGGAGGAAGTTGGGAGACATGTTTGGGAGGCAACAAACACATTACAATAGAGTATGCTTTGTTGTTGTCCATCCTTCATTTTTTAAGAAGTCCAATGACATGAATGAGTAATTTTATGACTTGTGCATAAGTCAGATTGAAGTGAAGCAGAGTTGCACAAGAATCGTCAGCCTCACTCTCTCTTTCAGAGTCATCAAAGTCCAGTGGTAAGACAAAAGTCAGGACAACTGGTGACAGCCAGATGCAGTGGATGACCTTAGTTTCTTCGATGTCTTGCCAAGCTCTAAGTGCTCCACAGTGCTTGCTTCAGTCACCTTCATGGTCACTGGAACAAGTTGTTCTCATCTGCCCATTCAGCAAGTGCTTAGAGTAGGCATTCCCCTAATTCACCAATGGGTTTGAAGCCTGTCAACTACCCTCAACCTGATTTTAGTTGGAAAAGGAAGGAGTATATTAATATGCAAATAAAATCTTAGTATCATGGAAAATTTTGAACTCACAGTCCCCCAAACAGACTGACAAAGACAGGAAAGCAATAGATGAAGGGATATTTGGACCTAGGGGAGGAGAGGGAAGGAGAAGGTCCAAAGGAGGTGGCTAATCTACTAGTTGGGCTGTCAGCTGCGGCTGGGGTCAGGGAGGGTAAAGCAGGACACATCTATTGAATTGTAAATTGTGACTAGTGTCAAGTCAGTAGCAAGCATTTATTAAGTGCAGTGCACTTAATGTGCTAATTGCTGGAGATACAAAGAAAGGCAAAAAACAGTCTCTGCTCTAAAAGAACTCATAGCCTAACTGAGGAGACAACAAACAGGATATATATGGGATAAACTGTAGGTAGCCTTGGAGGGAAGGTAGTAAGATGAAGGAAGGCAAGGAAAAGCTTCTTGAAGAAAGTGGAATTTTACTGGAGATCTGAAGGAAGTCAGGGAAGCCAGGAAACAGAAATGAAGAGAAAGAGATTTCAGGCAGAATTGTGTGAAAAACAAGCAAGGAAGCCAGCATCACTGGATCACAGGGCACGTGGTAGGGAGTTAGGTGGATTAGAAAGGTGGGGGTGGGAGCAGGGGAGGTAGTTGACTGAATAGAGGGTGATGTGGTCAGACTTGCTCGTTAGATAGATCAATTTGACAGCTGAGTAGAGGATGGGTTGGAGTAGGAAAGAGAGGAGGCAGGGAGACCAACCAGAAAACTATTGTAGTAGTTCATATGTGAGGTAATGAAGGCCTATTCCAGAGTGGTGGCTGTGTCAGAATAGAGAACAGGGTGTTTATGAAATATATTACAAAGGTAGAAATGACAGGATTTAGCAACTGATTGGATATAAGAGGTGACAGAGAGGAGTTGAGGATGACACTTGGGCTGTAAAGCAGCCTAGGTGACTTTGGAAGATGGTACCTTCAACAATGAAAAAGGGGAAGGTTTAGGAGGAAAGACAGTTTTGGACATGTTGAGTTTAAGATGTTTATGAAACATCCTGTTTGAGATGTCCAATAGGCAATTGAAGACGTGAGAATTAAATTTAGGAAAGAGATTAGGGCTTGACAAATAGTTCTCAGAATCATCTGCATTGAAATGATATCTGAATCCATGGAAGTTGATGAGATCACCAAGCTAAATAGGATGGAGGAAGAAAAAGGCCCAGGACAGAGCTTTGCAGGAATCTACATGGTTAATAGGTATGACCTAGATGAAGATGCAGCAAATGAGACTGAGAAAAAGTGGACAGGTACTTAGAAGAAGAACCAGAAGATTTATCATGAAGAGGGTGTTCAACAGTATTACAGGCTGCAGAGAGATCAAGAGTATAAGGAGTGAGAAAAAGCCATTCATTTTGGCAATTAACTTTGGAGAGTGCAGTTTCAGTTGACTGATGAGGTCAGAAGCCAGACTACAGAGAGTTAAGAGAAGAGGTGTGGAAGAGGAACCTTTTGTAGATGGTCTTATCAATGAGTTTAGCTACCAAAAAAAGGAGATGGGATATGAAATGATATCTACAAGAGATAGATGGAACAAGTGAGGGTTTATTTATTTTTTTTGGAATGAGGTAGATATAGATATATTTGCAGGAAGCAGAAAAGCAGCCAGAAGACTGGGAGACATTGAAGATAAGTAAGAAATAGGGATAACAGAGGGAGCAATCAACTGGAGAAGATAGGATGAAATGAGATCATTCAAGCATGTAGAGGCTTGACAAAAAGGGCCACATCACCATGTGAGACAGGAGTGAGAAAGGAGATAGTAATGAAAGGAATTTATTTGAGTGATGTGAGATAAGGAAGATGGGAGAAGAGAGAGGTCTTGGCAAACAGTCTCAATTTTTTTTTTTTTAGTGAAATACAGGCACAAGATTCTTAGTTAAGAGGGTGGGGAAGGTAGGCGTATGAGGAGGGATAAAAAGATTTGGAAAAGCCACTGTGATGAGTGGGATAGTGAGTCAATTAGGTAGATATAAAAGGATTGTCTTGCTACAGTGAGGGCCCAGTTGAGATTTTATGATATAAATTCGTAGTGCTCTGAGTTAGCACAGCTTTGGGATTTTATCCAGTTTCATTCAGCAATATGTAAGTAGGAGCAAAGGGTGAAGATGGTGGGAGTAATCAAAGACTGAGGCTTGGCAGGACATGACCCTCAATAGAATAAAGGACAAGAGGATACTGTAGAGTTTAACTGGTTTGCCAAGGGGGAAATATGAGGAAGGGAGGAGAGTGTAGCTAGTGCAAGGGTGATGGCCAGGAAAAGAATTGAGAGGTGGATGGAATAGACTCTGGTCTAATCTAGAAGTCACAATGAGAATGAAAAACAGGGTTAGGAGATACAAGGCAGAAGGAGAGGAAGAATTACAACAGATTATGATCACATAAAGAAATTTAAGAGTTCATGAAAACGGAAGTAGAACACTGTTGGTGATGGCAAAATCAAGGATGTGACTATGTCTGTGTATAACTGAGATGGAGTGGAGGGGTAAGTCACTGGAAATGAATAAGTTGAGGGACTGGGAGGTCGGAGTGTTTAAGAGAGTACTAATACATATGTTGAAGTTCCCAAGTATAAGGGCAGATATTGAGGAGGAGATAAAGGCTATGAGCCAGGCAATGAATTCACTGAAGAAGGAAGGACAGTGTTGTGGAAGTCAATGGAACAAAAACCTCTAGAATCTTGACTGGGTGATAAAAATGGATTGAATGAATTTCAAAGGGCAAATTACTAAGTGACAATGGCAAAGGGAAACCTGGAAGTAGCACTGGGGAGCAAGAAGTATTCCATGACCAGTGTTTTGTTTTATTTTGTTTTGCCTGGGCAAAAGGTAGAGGTGAAAGTTCTAGACAGAAAAACCAGTTCCAGAAAAAGTGGCCAGGGAAGCTGTGTCATCAAGGGGCAGCCAGATGCCAGTGCATGCAAGAAGACACAGGGAACAAGAGGTTTAAGATGAAAGCTAGCTCGTTAGTTATGGAGCAGGTATTCTAGAGGGCACCATGGAGGAGGTGTATAGCTTCAGAGAAGGAAGTGGTGGGGAGAAGGGTTGGGTCGAAGGCACTGAGAATAAGGGAGCAGTCAGTGGAAGGTAGAGAACAGAGTTTGAAAAATGGCAGTCAGGGACTCAGAATTTACTGGGATGGGGAGCATATGACAGGGTGGGAGTATACTAATCACTGAGGAATGAATCCAGGTGGGCTATTGTTGTGTATAGGGGTTCTGCTTCAAGGTGGGGACACAGGGTGACCACTCTTGGATAAGGCAACTGCTGCAGAGTTGTAGGAGGCTGGAGAGAGTCTCGAGGAAGGCAGGGAAGGCAAATGCTACAGAATTGTAAAAGGTCCCCCAGACATAGGGAATGACTTCCTACAGAGGCTTTTTATCTTTGCAGCTTACCCAGTACTTAGCATCGTGAAGATACTTTTAAAAATTCCTATTAAATTGAAATCCTGAATAATGATGACTATAAAGATATGAGTGATATTATCTATAGGCAATATTAAGTCAGTTAACCCATGGCTATACTGGGGAAAGATAAC